AGAAACTATATCTTTTTGAATGACAAATAGTTTTGAAATGTAAAAGATTTGGATTAGCTGGAGTTTAAAATAATACTGGGAGTTAAAATTAATAGAACATAATACTATCAGGATGCTTTCCTTAATATACACATATTACAGGGATGGGGCATGGTTATTGGCATATTTGTCGTACAACTCTTCTGCCAAGGAGGCCACCTGGCATTCATAGTTTTCCATGTCCCTTAATTTTATCTTTGCAGCAATGGTTAAGACAGCAAAGGGACACCAAATCATTCAAGATGCTAAAATCTGAAACAGATTGTGAGGAACTCCCAAATGTTCTGTCTCTGCCTTGGGAGAAATGGGTTATAGAAATAGCAGAAGAAATTGATTATAAGTGTAAAAGAAGGCATACTGATACCAAAAGGAACTCTTAAATTCAAGTGTCCACTAGTGAAATCTAAACTGATTGTGACTACCTGAGAAGGAGATGTTATGCCTCTTAAAACTTAATTTCTATGATGATGAAAAGGGCAGCTTCGATATTAGAAATTGGAGGAAAGGCTGAAGATAAAGCAAGTATCTGTAACAGCCTAAATAGCCCAGGCTAGCTGGAGTTTGTCAGAGCTTAGAACCTAAGCAGGGTTGCTCAGTACTTGAGATGGGAGACCACCAAGGAAGGCTAGGATTGCTATGCAGAGGAAGGCAATCGCAAAACCATCTCTGCTCATATCTTAGCTTGAAAAACCCTATGCAGTGGAACTTCATGGGATTGGCATAAGTTGGTCACAACTTTATGGCACTTTATTATTAATTATTATATAATATCATACCAAGGTCCTGCTAGATCAGATGAGTGATCCATCTAGTCCAGCATTCTGCTTCACACAGTGGCCAAACCACTTCCCTTGGAAAGCCAACAAACAGGGTATAGAGGCCAAGAACTTCCCCTAATGCTGCCTCCCAACACTGGTATTTAGCAATCTGAAGCCCCTGTATATAGAGGTTCCCTTTACATACCACAGCTAGTAGTCATTGATGAACGGAACCAAGTGGCAGATAAGTATTGTCCTGCCTAGACAAGCCTGAACATGCATTGTCCTGTGTTTGATATCAGACACAGACCAACCTAAAACTACTACCTTGAGAACTTTCAAATTTAGGTTGATCTGTTTTATACTGCCAATATTTTAAAAGATATCCAGAGCATTGTATTTTATGAAATGCCATTGAAGGAATTGTTTGTGTGTGAGGCACTTAAAATTGTACAAGACTGAAAAATTTTTACATCTTACTAATTGTAACAGACTGGATCTATTGAGAAATTGGGCAATATTTTTTCATATTTTACATTCATATCTGGATATATACTTCAGATTTCTTTTATCAGTTCAGGGTTTTTTCCCCTGTTCCGAAACTATACTATGTAACCGATTGCAAAGTTTCTTTAAAGAACACATGTTGTGTATGATGTATCTGTCCTGACTTTTTAATTAAAACATTTTTATTTCATACCCTCAACCAAAAAATTGTGAGGTGCCTTACCACAGTTAAAACAATAAAGGAATGAAAGCAAAATAAAGTTGACATCAAAAATCACAGTATAAGAGAAAGCCTAACAATAAAAACAGATGAAATAAATACAGAGCACACAGAAGCAGAATAAGAGCAGAGCAAGGTATAAAAACAACCAGGGCAAAGAATATATTTGCAAAGGCCTAGGAAAATAAAAATGTCTTTGCCTAGCATTTGAAACTCAAGAAGCTCGTCTCCAGACAAAGAGATGCAGGAAGGCAGTTTCAAAGACAAAGGAGAAAAGGCCTAGCCTCTGGTTGTTATATACCTTTCCTGCTCTAAAGCAAGGGCATATAGAGCAGGGTTTTGAAAGATGTTAACTGCCAGGCAGGTTCATATGGGAACAAGTGATCCTTGAGATATCCCAATCACAAGCCATTTAGGGCTTTGGGAAATGTAGAAATATAGTACTTATCTGTAGCATTTTATTAAATGGTTCTATTACTGTGGTGACTATCAAAATTTCAAATTTATTACAGCCAATTGACCAGCAGTACAAAAATAAAATAGTATAATCACAAGCCCAATCTACTTTAAAACCGTAACCATATCCCCAAATTCTAAATCCCAGACAAGAACTTTCCTCAGTCCATGCTTTTTGTTAAAACTTCCACTTATTTATTACTAAAAAACAATATTTTGCTACTACCAAGGTTATTGACTTCTTGGTGTCTTCCAACAATATTTCAGCAGCACAGTATCTGCAAATTTCAGATAATTATTTAAATTGAGAAAGTAAAGGAAATATTAACTGATGTCTCTCTTCAGAATAGTTTACAGTGTAAAAGAATGTGAGTGATTGTTTCAATTTCTTTATCTGAGCATAGACAACATCTTTGATGAATACGCCAGCAGAGATACCTTCCTTGCAGTACATTGGAAGGGATGGCATCAAAACGTGCTCTAGAAAAGACCTATCTGTATTTTTCATACATGATATTAGAGAGATATGGTGCTGCTGCAAATCCAGGCCAAGATTTTAGGTTACTATATATCTTGGGTAAAAGCACTCCATCAGTTTGAGCCTCAATATCAATCAAGTGCTGATGAACCAAAGATTTCGCTTTACTCATATCCATTTCCAAAAGATTTACCGGACATAACCCAATGGTACGTAACTTATCCATTATTCTAATGGACCAGTCCGGGTATGGAGTAGAAGCTAAAAGCAGGGGGTCAGTTCTGTAGGCTTCAGGTGGATTCTCAACCAATAGTAGACTGAGATTATCCAAATTTTCAGTTCCACTCTTGGTATGCCAGCCTCCTGTCTTAACACCACATTAGCTGTACATTTTGGTACATTAAACAGTGCTCTGAGAAACTTAGATTGTACTCTCTCTAGTGTCTTATAATTACTATTATTATTTAAAATTATTTGCATCCCATAGGTAAACTGGGTCAACACTTTGGCAGAAAAAAGCTTTAAAGCTGCCGATACTAAACCTAAGCCCTCATTTCTAAAAAAAAAAATCTAAGCATAGTGTTGGCACTTCTCTCTGCTATATTAATTGCAGATGTGATGTGAGCTGATGGACTGCCATTGTGTGAGAAGGTTATCCCCAGATAGCTGAAAGATTTTATTTACTCAGTGTTCTGACCATTAATTTTCCAATTACATTTATTGTATACTCTATTAAAATGTATTATTTTGGTTTCTGAGTAATTGATAACTAACAATTCATCATCACATAGTCTAATAAATGTATTCAGAGCACATTTTAAATCAATTCTTGTTTGTGAAATAAGAATGGCATCGTCAGCGTACATAAGTATTGGTGCACTTTTCCCTCCCGTAAATTTAGGGGCATTTACGTCTATCCCTTGTAAACACTGGATTAAAGAATTTACGTATATATTAAATAGAAAAGGGGTGAGCAGGCAGCCTTGTCTGACTCCTTTTTGTGAGGGAATGCATTTGGATAGCTTGCTCTCACAGTTATATCTAATTTGTAATTGAGTATTCTCATGTAATTTAATCATCAAGAGTAAAAGACTTTTCTCTATGGTTGAACCTTCTAATTTTGCCCAGGGTTTCCCTCATGAAACAGTATCAAAAGCCGCCTTAAGGTCTACAGATGCAACAAATAGTGAGCCCTTAGCTAATTCTTACATACTTTTGGATAAAATAATCTAAAATGAGGCAGTGGTCCAGAACTGAACGACCTTGGGTGAACCCCGCTTGCTCAATTTCTAAATAATTCTCTTGATCTAACCAGCTACACAATTTCATACATAGATGTTTAGTATACAATTTACAAATGATATTTAGGAGACTAATTGATCTATAATTATTTGAATCAACTGTATTGCTTTTCTTATATATGGGTACAATGATTGGTATTTGGGCAGTTTGAACTATATAGGTAAAAAGATTGGTCAAAATCGGTGCCCACCAATCTATATTTGCTTTTAACAATTCAGCTGGAATAAAATCACTTCCCGGGGCCTTCTCCTTTTTTAATTGATTTATCAGGAGAGTGACTTCTCCAACTGTGACTGGGGGGCATAAAGGAGTATTTTCTAAGGGAATTTCTATCGGGAGCTCGGGAATGTAGAAATATAGTACTTATCTGTAGCATTTCATTGAGTGGTTCTATTACTATGGTGACTATCAAAATTTGAAGCTTTTATGTAATTTGTAGATTCTCTTGTATGAAACATTCAACAGTAGAGTGCTTTTGGCCTGTTGCTTTACCATGTTTCACACTTTGTATGTTTGGACTAGTTGTCAGTTGAATTTAGTAGAAGGTAGATCTTGCGTTTTCCGTAGTGTCTTGGGATGGATTTATCCTAGCAGTAAAGGTTCGATAACTAGACCTAATAAAGATTTGTCAGTTATCTCCAGGTTGGCAGTATAAGAAGGGAGTGGGGCCTCCAAAGGGCTTCAGTCAAAATACGTTTATAGAGTTATGGACAGTGTGGAAAGAAAATGGTTTTGGTTCAGTTTTGTTTTTTAAAATCCTTCAATGCCTAGTGCCCAGGCTTATACAATAAAATAGATTGTCAGTATTTTGGACAAATAGAAGTACTTCTTCACACAGTGACATGGAATAACCCAAGATTTGATGATGTCATTACTTTTATCACTTAAGAGGGTGAAGCAAAAAACAAATGTAAGCATTTAATGTTCAAATTAAGAAAGTCACTGAAAAGAGGACTCTGTCAGAAGTTACCTTAAAAGCTGGTAATGGTCATATAGTAACAAAATGTTATTCTAACACCAGGCATTAGTAGCCCAATGGAATCTTACCACCAGCCTTGTGAACACTTTAGAAATTTAATTTTCTCTGTTTTCTTGCTGGGAGCTCCAGTGTTTCATTTACACTGAGAGTAAAAAAGGTGGTTGGTTTTGAACATTTAAAATATTCCTTTTCCATTACTTATTCTATAAACAGTTCATATGCTGAATGACTTTCAGTAAATTTTCTTGTAATTATTTACAGACAAACAAGTGTCCATTTAGGATCTTTATGCATGGGAGATATCAAACGAAGAAGAAAAGCTGCACCTCTTCCAGGACCCACTGGTAAGCACTTTCACCATGATAACATACCCAAAATTGTAAGTCTGCAAAACAACATGGAGGGAGGTACTGATAATCTGTGGGAGTTAACCTGTATCTAAATAAGCTGTGGACACTTAAGAGAACATTCTGTAACTTGTTTCAGTGGTTGATACAGGGGTTTGTGACAGAAAAGAGATGTATTTAGCACTGAAATCAGTTTTGAGCAGCCAGTGTAACTCATTCCATTTCTTGCTGCTAACTGGCCATGCTCACTTCTCAGTTGCCTCCTGTGAAAATGAATAGCACATTAATTTCCTTAACAACAATACTTCACAATGACCCCCATTACAGACATTCTCATATCCATCATTGTTTGTTTCTTCACCCCTATTTTTCTTTTACACTTAACAACATTCACTGCCTTTAGTATGTTAATTGCTTGTTAATTTTCTGGGAAAGTCTAAGTTGTTTCTAATTTAGTACAGCTCTAGCTTCTTTGCAGCCCCGTGGGAAGAGCTTGAGGTAGTTACCAAAATCAGTGAAATTAAAAATTATTTGATGTGTCTATATGTGCCCCCAAGCCCAAAATCTCAACTGGAGAAGCAACAAACCTAGAAGGAAAAGGTGAGGTAAGTACTGAAATGAGAAGCGATACAAAAGGTGTGCCTAGGCTGACTAACTGTGCAGTCCTATGCAGAGTTACTCCAGTATTACTGAAGTACTGTAATCAATGTGCTTACAGCAGAACTGTGCTGTAAGAAATTTCCTTATCCCACCTCATCCAGATAATTTCAGATCTTCGACGTGGTCTCTGTGCTTCACACCCATGGGATATAGTGCGCACGCGCTGGATCGATAGGCATTGTAGCAAGCTCTTTAACAGATTTTTGCACCCAGACCTCGGGCATGCGCAGGAACCCCACCATGCATGCCCAGAGGGGTAGGCGCGGACATCTTACTGCTGCGTTGGAAAGACCTTTTCTTTGTCGGTCTGATCGGTTCTCCTTTTCTGGCTATTTGCCTCACGGCTCTTCGGATTTTTTCCTCAGTTTATTCTTTTTTCCTTACTCTTTCTTCGTTCGTTCTTCAAAAATCAGGGGAAAAGGGGAAGTTGCTGGTTTACGTCAGTTTGGCCTTCGGGCTCCCCCACCCCCACCCCTTCTTTCTTCTCCGTTTTTTTTTTTTATGGAGAAGAAGTGGGGCTTTTTTGACCGCTGCAAGGGTTGCGGCAGTAAACTCACTACACCTGACCGCCACATTCTCTGTATTTTTTGTTTGGGGGAGTCTCACCGACCTGAGGCTTGCCGGCACTGTGCTAGGTTTTCGAACCAGACACGAAAAAACCGAGCTGCGCGCCTTAAAGTAGCACTACTTGAGTCGGCGTTACATCCTCCCTCAGTGATGGAGTCCGAGAGACCATCGACATCGATGGCTCCGGCATCGAGGCCTCCCTACGACATCAGCCAACCAACATCGAAACCACCGGCATCGAAGGCGCAATCCTCCGCTTCCACTCCAGTGAAGAAGAAGCCCAAGCCAAGTAAGGAGCACAAGTCCGCAAAAAAGGGCTCCTCTAAGTCCTTAAAGATGGCAAAGAAGGGGAAGGTAGCTATGTCTGCACTGGGTGATGCTCCAAAAGTGCCTCTCGCTCCAATGGCAGTATCGACATCGAAGGTACATGCCCCTCCACCAATACCGACCATTCAACTCTTGGACTCCCCTATACAACAACTTGACCATCCTTACTCCGATATCGAGACGGTGCAGCTCCTTAGTCGTCCCATGGATGCAGAGGCTTCTCCCTCTCCTTCCCCGTCGTCAACATCGACGGTGTCAGAGGCTCCCGACATCGATACACGTCGGAATCGACACGCCTCCACCAGCACGCAGTGTCACCCTCCACGTCTGCTTCTTGAACCTTTCGATATCGATGACCAAGATTATAGGGACGGCTCTCAAAGGCAGGCTACCGCTTTGTCTCCAAGACGTACCCGATCCAGAAGTCGATCCCCCCAAGTCTTTCTACCCCCCCACCACCTCTGTCTTGGGATCAACGCCAACTAAGATATCTCTATGGGGGTTATCCACCATCCATGCCATGGTTGACTCCAGCGGGCTATTCTGACTGGGATCGTTACTTGACCCACTCTGCCCACAGATCACGGTCGTCCTACAAATCAAGACCTTCAGCATCTCTGTCTCGTCCTCCGGCCGATGATCCTTCCCACCATAATCCGGAACTCAGTCGTCCTCCCAATCCCCAAGTCGTACCACCAAAGCTTTTAACCAGTCAAACTGAGGTCACTCCGCTTCAAATTCCAGATCAGGACTCCTCTGATTCTGCAGAAGAGGATTCTGATACGGGGGCCTCTAATGCTCACATCACTCCTGACCACAAGTCCCCAAACCAAGCTGTCGCAGATGATCTGCCTATATCCCCATCCGACAATCTCACGTCCTATGCAGACCTCGTCAAAAGAATGGCCCATTCTCTAGGCCTTTCAGTCATTCAACAACAACCACAAGTTACAGATGCCATCTTCGATATCGTGCAGCTGGATACCTCCACTACCATAGCACTGCCCATGTCTACGGCCCTTTTACAAGCTGCAAAAGCACCATGGGAAAAGCCTTCATCAGCCCCAGTGTCAACAAGACGCCTGGACCACATGTATAGAGTCCAGGAGACCGGAGCTGAATTTTTATTCTCCCACCCTCAGCCAAACGTGATGGTTGTTACATCCTCTTCCAAATCAAAACGAACACACTCTGCACCTTCTAACAGGGAAAGTAGAAAATTAGACGTGTTTGGGAGATGCTTCTACTCCACGGGAGTGTTGGGAGTAAAAAACACAAATAACTTAGCTTGCATGAGCAGGTGTCAGTATACTCTCTGGGAAAGGATTTCTGAACTCCTAACTCATCTCCCCGAAGACAAGCTTCAGGCAGCCAGAATTATCCAGAAAGGAAGGCATGGTATTTGCGAAGCAGCAGATCAATACTTCCAAACATTAGACGCTTTCTCAAGAACAATGGCCTCAGTGATAGCTCTAAGGAGGCACTCCTGGCTCCGTAATACCAATCTTCCACAAGATACTAGGTCTTATGTCGAAGACCTCTCCTTTGATGGCCTTGGTCTCTTCAACAGCACTACCGACTCCATACTCCAAGATATGGATAAGCACATAAAGGCCTCTCGCGCTCTAGGGGTTTCATCTTTCATGAGGAAACAATATCGCCCTCGCACTTGGTCTAGGCCCTGGCAAAAGCGCACCCCGAATTGTCAGTCTCCTGACAGACAATGGAGACCATGTACGTCTTCGGGAGGCCAAAAACCCACCTTTCAAAAACCCAGGTTTGGATCTGGACAACAGTTGTCTCGCACCAAGCAGGCAAAGTCTTCCAAGCAGGGCTTTTGACTTTCCTCCCACCGAGTCAGCTCAAACCCGTCTTTCTCCCTTCCTTCACACCTGGCGTCATATCACCATGGACGAATGGATGCTGTCCATCTTGACCCGAGGCTACCGTATCCAATTCCACCAGAAACCCATTACACCTGTCTTCGTCTCCACAACCCCTTCCCCACCTCTCCTAGAAGAAGTGTCCGTCCTTCTGCACAAAGGAGCCATCGAGCC